AAAAAAAAAAAAAAAAAAAGAAAATAGTGTTACAGCTCAGTAGTGGCTAAAGTTCAATGTGGCTAATATGTTTTGAGACACTATTAAAATGTTTCTGAACAGGAAGTGTCTTCAACCACTATTATTAAATGTAAATGGCTTTAGAAATTAGCTTTTGCTGTAGGACTGATGTTTCTTAATGAGGTTAATTTAAAATTATAAGATGCTGGACATGGTGCCACATGCCTGTAAACCAGGCACACAGGAGGCTGAGGCAGGAAGACTGCTAGCAGTTTAAGGTGGGCCTGCACTATAGTGAGTTCAAGAAAAGCCTAAACTGCATAGGGAGATTCTGTCTCAAAAAACCAAAATGAATTTAAAAGTTAAAATAAATAAAGCTACAAGTAAAATCATTGCAGTGAAACTGGGATCATGAGTCTAGTCAAGTTTCTTTGTACAATTCTGGCGTGTCAAGGGTTCAACGAGAAGCAAGATCCTCTGGCCCCACAAAAAGCTGCACGCTTTTCTGAGCTTAAACCATAGTTACGGCAGCATTCTTCATTCGGCTCTTGATGCGAGTATAGCAGAGTGCCTGATTTAACAACCTACCTGTCTGTACAATCTGAGGAACTTCCACTAACTTAACTGAAAGTGACTGATCTTCAGTGTACTTCTTTATAATACACTAACAAGAAAATAACAAGAGGATAAGCCGACAGAATTCTATAAAGGCTGGCATACAATGATGAACATTTCCACTAGAATTATTGGCCAAAATAAATTCTCAAAATAATATTAATGATATCTGATATTATTATCAGGTGGTAACGACCAGTAGGAAGAGATGTGTTCAAAGAACCCATACAGATGCTCAACATAGTCATCACTCCCGAGAGTACGCATGCTCATTTACCAACCAAATTCCATTCATTTGGGGGCTTGAATTGATCACAAAAATGAGGAAAGTCAATAGTATGTACATTACAATATTCAACACAAAGAAATGGCTGAAGGAAACTCCAATCTGATGACTGCTTTTATCTGCCTCTCTCTCCCACACACCACTGTAACAACATAACAGAACCTAAAACTAGAGTATTATACCGTACAATCCAATGAGCAAAACTTACAGCACTATATAAACAAGGAGTACTGTACCAAAAAAAAAAGACACTCAGGCTCAATAAACAAGACGTACTGAACTGTACAAACAAAACAGAAATGCGTCATAAGTTCAAGAGATGGGCTGTAAGTCTAAATAGACATTAGCCAAAGGGTTTATTAAATGAGGAATATCTGTATTTACAGATGAATTTGATGACAGAGAAACTAAATGTGCCCCTACATAAATAATCTGATTCTTGGGCTCACCAGATAGCTCAGTGGACTAAAGCACCTGCTTAGGCAGAGCGCAGCAACCGGATTCAATCCCTGGTGTGCTGTGCCAGCCCCGGCCCCAGCCCCGGGGTGCACTGAGATGGCAAATGAAACTGGGCGTGGT